TTCAGATGGTTGGTCACGAAGCATTGGATGAAATCATCACACCATTGCTCGAAAAACTTACACCCGAAAAGGAAGATGTTTTGGCAGGATTGTGCGAGATAATGAAGCAGAATAGCAGGTAACATTAACCTAAAGACCTTATTCTGATCTTGTCAGATTCTTGCTTATTGAAGACAAATGCTGCCGTATTTGTTGCCACGTCTTACCCGACCACCAATCAATGTACATGCATTGTGTAGCTTGGCCTCAGTGGCAGGTCATTTTCGATGATTGTTTGTTTTCCTTTCCTCTTTTTTACGTTATAGTTTCAGGTGGTTCACTATCGCGACAGCTATCACGCGTTTTGGATGCATTACTTTCAGCTTGTGAAACAAATGATCAGTATGATCCTGTAGGTCTTTTCTATGATGTTTATCCTCACATGAAGTTTATTTCACAAACTGCTCCTTCTTTTGCTTTTAGATGATTGATAGCTGTGAGAAGGTTGTGATTGCGGTGACAGATGATGAAGGAGTACCTGTACTTGTGGATTATCTATTGAAACAAGCTGCTAAAGGAAATGTGCCCGCTATAGTGCTGCTTCACACTTTTGTCTCAAAAAGCGGAGTGAGTGTTGACGCAATTTTTCAATCCATTTCCTTTTGTAAGTTTAAGTCACATTTGTATACCAGTCTTATTTAGGTAAATCTTAATTATTTGATGGGTGAATTGCTTCCTGGGTTGTTGCACTTGTACACATCGTCAAACGCACAAATTGTCGATCATGCTGTGAATTCTGCAATAGGAATAGCGCAAGCTTTGGATCAGAAGGAGATGCAGGTCAGTGAAGTCATTGACTTTCGAATCTGGGCTTCGATGTCATATTAATGCTGTTTTGTAGCACCTATTCCTGACTTTTCTCATATACGTAATTTGTTACATTGGAAATGATATTTGTTTGCAATCAAGTTTTTGTAGAAGACCATAATCATTGTTTCTTTTTTTAAGATTACATTGCATCTTTACTTATATCTACTTTAGTAGCTATATATTTAAAGATTACTTATCACTAGATAATTCGCTTGCAGCAAATCATACTAAAACCAACTATAAGTTACAGTTCACTGTTGTACCAAGAACTGATTTAGAAATTTACCGCTATGCACTGCAATTATTGTAATCTTTTGTGGTATTGTATAGTGTCAGCCACTTTTGATAGAAATTCATTTTAAAGGTTATAATTTTTATGTTTAAGGAGGCTATTCCAATTGTGAAGAAGGCGTTGAATTTCATGGTAGCTCAGTCCAAAGGTCGAAATATTCCTGGATTTGCACATCCAAAAGCTTTGCAACCGTTGCTTCCCATGCTGAGGGAGGCTATCTTGCAAGGTAAATGGTTCTGTATATATTATGTACTTTTATGTTACAAGTTTACATCTTTTCTTTCACCAATCACTGTGTGAGGGTTAGTCCTCTTATTTTTTCTGATTCAGGTGGTGTTGAACTAAAAGCTCTTGCTGGAGAAGCTCTGGGAATGGTAATATCTGTATCCGACCCAACAGCGCTCAAGCCACACGTTGTGAATATCACTGGCCCGCTTGTACGAGTACTAGGTGATCGCTATCCAGCCAGCGTCAAATTGGCGGTTCTAGATGCCTTGAGTAAATTACTGGATAAGGTATGGTCCATTCTTTATTTACATTCACCATATACTCCTAATCATTGTGTATACTTGGAAGGCGGCATCTAGCAATTAATCGTCTCTGTCATTGCAGGTTGATACATTGCTTCGTCCGTTCCTTCCACAGCTACAGTCTACTTTCCTTAAATCGTTGCAAGAGCCGTCGTCAAGGCCTGTTCGACTTGCAGCTGGAGGTAAGGTTTACTAATTGTGCAACTGCCAGGATTCTCTCTTATCTCCTCTGATTTTTTTCCATATTTAGGTGCTCTTGCGCGCTTACTGCGAATTCATACGAAGCCAGAACCACTAATCTGTGAGATTCTGAAATTGTTGGCTCATTCGCAAGATCAGGCTCTTCTGTGGGTATTATAAAAATATGGGTACTAACCAGGCTCTAACTAGAAGCAATCTCTTCTTGATTAGTTTCAAATAGTGGATATATCAGTTATAGATTATCTACTGTTTATAATTATTTTTTTCTTTTAGTGAAACAACATTCGTTGCTGCTCGTGCTTTGATCGGCAAGTTAACTGTTCCTTTATCAGAAGCCACCATACACGAGGGGTATCGCGTTTGTGAGCTGCAATATACCGTATGCTTTGAAGATAGCATATCTTTTTTTTTTCATGGAAATGCATGTTCTGCATAGGTACCATTGGATACACCTACTGAGCTGGATAGCTCGCTAACTATGTGCAGTGGAGCGCTCTTTGGAGAGCTTGCCATTAGGACAAATCAGTTTCGGTCAAAGAACATCTTCAAAGGTAGTTCTGAAAGCGTTATGTTGCGACTGTCTGCACACATCTATGTGTGATTTTTCTAGACGTCGAAAGCTGCTCAAAGCCACGCACTCGACAAGCCATGGCTTACGCTCTACAGCAAATGTGCCAGGTTTGTAATCTTGCTTCATTGCTCATCCATATTCACTATATTTTAGTCTGATGCCGCTACCGTATGGTCCGAAGCACATGCTGAATGTAGATCTGCCATCCAAGCTGCCTTTTCGGCAGACTCCATCGTGGCTTGCGCAGCCTTACGAGCAGCGGCTCATATTCTGATCAGGTTTGTAAAGGGGGAGGGGGAAATAATTTTAGTTAAAGGGAAGTTTAAAGTGACTTTTGTAGTGAGGGCTTGAATCCTGATAGAGAACTATTGTCTGCCATGGGTAGAGCGCTCAGCCATCAGGCTGTAGAAGTCCGAAGAGTTGCAGCATCTGCTCTAGGACATGTTCTGCACCTGGTTCCTAGTCAATTAGGGAACGATCTTTTGAAGGTGAGATCTCGATGAAAATCTAAAAAATTATCGAAGGGTTCCAGCAAAAAGAAATCCTAAAAGTTCTCCCCAGGAATTTAACGATAGTTTGAATTAAACTTATCCTAGCTGATTATTCCTCATCTCGTCAATGGTGCG